GCCTGTAATAAATGAACGGGTCCTGGATACTAAGCGGAACCATTCCTTAGCGCCGCGCGAAAGTGGAAGGGCGATGCAACCGGCGTTTTTGGCCGCTCCTTATTGGTGTCCGTCCAGCAGAATGTCTCACCTCAAGGGATGACGGTTTCAGTTCTCGATCCTGCGTTTCGCAGCCTATCATCGTTGGTTTTAAACCCCGTCAACCCCTTTTCTGCCTTTTTGGTTCTGGTTGTGGTTCTTCTTTTTTGTCAGGCCGTTGTCAATCTTGACGATCTCTATCTCAGCATCTACCGCGCAGCACAACAGTATATCACTGCAGAGCACAGCATAAGTGCTCTACCGACAAAAATGGCGATATTATTACGGAGAGATTGCGATTCGAGTAACGCCAACTCAGCCGCTTGCGAGAAACCTGTCAGCGATTTTCTCAAGACAGGAGTGCCGGGGATTATCGTTGGGATGTGCGTTCTCTTACTCTGAAAGTTGAAGGAATTGTTCTCCGTGCTGATACTCCACTGACAGACTCGTCCTAATTGCCGTCTGTGTATGCTGCTATCTGCTCTACCGAAACAAGAAGCGAGACGCGCGCGAGGCGGAGGAAGCGCGTGGTTGGAATCTGGACAAATAAATCCTTCCTCCCGTTACCACTGAAAATCGCCATATACCCACCAGCTACCGTATCTTCGATCGCATACATTCGACCCATTTTCTTGACCGAGTGAATAAAGACCGTGCCTGGAGCACAAGCAGCGCCATTTACATCTACAGGCGCACGACATAATGGCTATTGGTTGATGGACAAAGGGCACAAGGCCAACTACAGACTGAGCAGGTCTCATCATGTACATTACTGGTCACTGACTACTTTACTCCGTACCCACCACGATCTGCATTGCATTGTATATACATATCATATCCTTCTTCACAGCGAGCAAACTACTGCACCACAAACTGGGTCTTGTGACTCTTATACAACGTACTCGAATCCAGGACCTCGCCGGTATTCGACCGGATAAAATCCACCTGCAGACTGGTCCGGTTAAGGAAGCGCACCGTCGCATAGGAATAATCATCGGCGTACGCCCACGCCGTATATGACGGCTTCGAGCCAACACTGCTCAGTCCTTCGATATTCCCCGCCCCGCCAGCAACGATATACATCGGCGCGGAGGGGTCGTTCATACCTTTCGGGTCGGCGGTGCCGTTGACGACGGGCAGGAAGCGCTGCGAGTTGTGCACGTGCCCGAACACGCCGAGGTCCACGCCGTGTTTGTATAGCAGGCCCTCGAAGGCGGCCTGGCAGGGCGCGCAGCCACTGCCGCTGCCGGTGGTGTACCAGGGTCGGTGGCCGGCGACGATCACCCAGGGGGTGACGGTGCGGTCGACGCTGGCGAGGTCGGCAGCCAGAAAATCGAGCTGTTGGGTTGCGCCGCCAAAAGGACCGCCGTTGAGGCCAGCGGAGCCGCTGGGGCCGTCCGGGGCGTTGGGGAAGTCGGTTTCGGTGTTGATCATGACGACGTGGGCCATGCCGTATTCGAAGGAGTACCAGAAGGGTGGGTTGGAGAGCGACTTGGCCTTGGAGGCGAGGGACTGCGCCGTTGTGCTGGATGAGGAGGAGGCGAAGGACCTGGGCATGGTGTTGGCGAAGCGGTGCATGAAGTCGGTGAAGTTGCGCTGGCCCTCGGGGCAGAGGCCGGACGTGTACGGAATTTCAGTGCAGTCTGCCTCATGGTTGCCCGGGCTGGCCATGTAGGGCTTGCGGCCGGCGATTGGAGCGAGCTGGTTGTAGAACTGCTCCAGGATCGACTGATACGAATCCTTACCAGTCAGGAGATTATCGACACGCAGATACCAGTCGTCACTGTAACTCATGTCACCTGGATGGATTACGAGCTCGTAGTCATCGACTGTGCTGGCTAGTCGTCCGATGGTGGTGTGGTTGAGCTCGGGTTGGATATACGGGATGTCGGACTTTTTGATTTTTTTCGAAGCAACGGTATACCCGTCTTTGCCGTACACGCCAAGATCAATGACAACATCCATGCTAAAGGGAGTAGTATCACCCGGAGTCCGGGGGCTGAGGAAATGGTTGACTGTTGAGTTGCCCGAGACGATCTTGTAGTAGTAGGTGGTGGCGGGGGCCAGGCCGGTCAACACCACCACATTGGAGTACGTGCGCGAGGTGGCATACGTAGTCGAACTGGACGAGCAGGCCTTGGAGGTCAGAGCACTGCTGGAAGTGCCATACTGGACGCAGCCCTGGTCCAGTTTCTCGTATGTGTTCCATCCAATCGATACAGCTGCGTTCGTCAGATCACGTGTTGTGGTTGGGTCGAGGTCTTACCATTAGGACCGTACACAGCAAGGCGCTGCTGGAATGGAGTCGTCAAGTCGCTAGGAATAGGAGGATAATCAATGGCGGCCAATGCGCCAGTCGCAAGGATGGACAACGCCGTGATCACAGGTGTATTTCTCACCATATTGCCTACCGTAGTCGGAGTTTGCTTCTGCACTCCGCTCGATACAGCGGGCTGCCATTTTGGTTAAATACTTCTGAAATAATCTAAATCAACATCGATCAAGCATGTGAAGAGACGGGATCATCTCCATCAATCACAGTGATCGACATGATCACGCCCTCGGCCTGCATATTCTGCATTCTCACGGCCCATTGTCAGGCGGGAGAGTGGGACTCCGACGGAGAAAAATGAAGGTTTAGAAGGGCTGCTAAGAAGCTAAGAGATGTAGCCGAAGCCACTACAATCCTAAAAACGGTGCAGAATCCACGCTAGCGTCCACGTGCATCAGCTACCGTTTGTCAGTGATCAACAGAACCGAATCATATTCTTTCTATTGATGATTCTCCTCTGCGGGTGAATAACCGAGGCAGTGTCGATCAGTATTCCTGTCCGTTCGATGCGGAGCTAACCGAAATGTGCACAATCTACCGAGTACGTCAACAATGAAGGCTTGAAGAGATACCAGCTGCTTCACAACAGAGGCAAAGAGTCAAGAATACCAAGCTTTGCCGGGAAGCTTCCCCTGATGACCCGTCATCTTCCTTTCTGATGCTTGTCTTATATTCGGGTCGTTAAGGTCAACTACCGAAGGATTAATTCATGATCTGCAGGAACCACAAGTTTCTACGGTAGACATTTACTTCAATGACTGTAGCCGAGCAAAGTAATCTAGATTGACCGGACAGCGGATGGAAAGATGAATCCGACGATCCACTCAGTCAGGTACTCACCTCCGTGTACTGGTCTTGATTCTGCAGATGGCACATTATTCTTTGGGTATAACCTGCTGATGGGAAGAGATAATAAAACGTGTGATAGGGATCCATCCTGAGTGGACTGGCACCGGTTGGTTTAATATACAGTCATGCAGAAATATATTGGTTTCTTGAACATCCTTTCTAATTTAAATACTATTCGTCTCTGTCACCGACGCGGTTACCCAAGCACTCATATAATAGTATGTGGAAAAGTCATAGTGTGACTGCCTGGCGACTCATACTGCAGAAATATACTCGGCCAGTACCTCAACCATATAAAGAAATACGGTCATCGTTATTACAACTCTATTTGTTTATACTATTTCTAAACCTTCTATACGATCGTAAATGTTAGATGCATTTGATGTACCGTACCTTGCCGGAACGGATGTATCAGCTATTAAAAACCCTCTTCTATTCCAGATGTCGTTCTTACGGCTTCTGATACTGCTTTCATGAAAATCATTAAATGATGCACATGAGAACATCCTCGCTTGAGTCTATCAATATGTATTATCAGTTACTCTAAATGTATATAGTGTGGATAAGGCTGATACTTCAAAGAAAGGCAAAGAAAAGTTAGTAGTCACAAACTGCCATCCTTCAAAAATAGTTCAGCTTCCCACCCTACACCTTCTGCAGACCCAAGTAGTTAAGAGTTGAGAACGCAGTCACCAACCTGACCGCCAGTGGGATACTTGCCAAAGCAAGCCTCCTGGTACTTTGCATTCTCCTCCAGTGTGGGAACGCCGCGCAGGAACTGGTCGACGGGGCAGAAACCGTTCTGCACACTTTCACAACCCACGAGGCCATGCATAGGGAGCAGGGCACCGTTCAAGACGAGCGGATGTACTTTGGATGCGCCAGTGATACTCTCCACATGGAGTAACCCAGCCCAAGAGCAGAGGTCACAGAGACGATGATACCATCATGGGACATATCAAGGTAGAAGGGCTGGCCCAGAGGAAACTGGGCGGTGTTGTTGTCGTAGGTGTAGTTGATGCTGGTGTCACTAGAAGTAATGAGCTGCCTGGAGGCGGGCAGCGGAGCTCAAAGACATTGCCAATACCCATGAAGGTGCGCTCCGCATCATCACTGTTCTTAGTTATAACTCCACGTCAGTTGGGGTTGTATACGGAGGATCAAGGATGCGGTGGACCGACCCTTCCGTCATATCACCCGAGCTATGTGATATATAAAGAGGTTCGTCCTGATTGCTGGATCTCACTCACCTACCGGCCACCAAGCACATATGGGCTCCAATTCTCTCGCGTGAGATCTCCGTAGATCTCTACCCTGGAAAGCCGAGAAAATCGTTTCTGTCAAATTTGATCCATAACCGGCCCAATTGAAACTACATGGACCTGTCATCTGAGTACTAAAGCAGACAGGACTGATCCACATCCAATTCTAGGCAAAATCGGAATAGTGTACCCTATGAGTCCTCCGACCCCTTCATCGCATAGTTTTAAATACGTTTCAGACCATCGTCATTCCGCTGAATCGGCAGTCAAGGGTTTGATAGTTGCCTACAGCATATTCGATCTCATTAGGTAAATTCCTACGCCAAGATTGCCTGCCGCCCTCATGACTCATTGAATACGAGCCCCGCAGCTGCTATGATGGACTCATGGCGGCTCAAGGTCTATATATGAGTCCAATTACTCGCAAATTAAGCACAAGCCCCTCCATCTGGTAGTCCTTTCTTAAACTGACGACACAAATGGGGAACGACACATTAGGAAATCCTGAGTTTCCGATGGAGGGCGGATGCGCCTGCGGCCTCGTACGGTACCGCCTTGAAGCACACCCACTTATTGTCCATTGCTGCCACTGCACTTCCTGCCAGCGCGAGACAGGGACAGCATTTGCCCTGAACGCAGTCATTGAATCCTCCCTCATTACTCTCCTCCCATCGGCACCAGCAACGGTCCCTGCATCTGCCCAGTGCAACGCAAAACCAGCCGCCCCGCCAATCGGGCCGTTTAAAGAAGACTGTGCCGTTGAGCCGGAAACAATCCTCACTCCGTCTGAATCTGGAAAGGGGCAGACTATCGCAAGATGCCCTAAATGCCGTGTAGCAGTCTGGTCAAACTATGGCGGGGCTGGGCCGTTTTGCCGATTCATTCGTGTGGGGACGTTGGATGAGGCGTGGAAGGTTGGGCCGGATGTTCACATTTATACGCGAAGCAAGAGAGGCTTCTTTATGCTGGATGATGGGTTGCCGCAATTTTCCGGATATTATCCCAGTGTTGACGAAGTATGGAGCAAACAGAGCTTGGAGAGGTGGGCCAAGATCTGGCCGGAGATTGTCAAGTATAAGGAAAGCTTAGTTCAGCGAAGTTGAACTGGACAGTTGTGACAAGTACATCAGAATAAGCAATCACAGTCTCATGTAAGACTTTTTTTCTATGCTCGCGGAAAGCTGTCTACGCTGGAATGGGTGGTTCAAAGGCTGCCACTATATTCAAATGGACTGATGCGAGGCCAGAAAATGTCCGAGATTTGGTATGGGGGCCTCAAGCTGGTCTGAGACTCCCAACTCGACAATGATCACAGCCAGAAAGTGGCAGCCCAATGGACAGGCCTAGGATGTTGATCCATACCAATCCAGGTGGCCCGCTGGTAGTGGTTGGGACTCAGCTTAGTTATTTTGACATTCACTTTTGAATGGCAAGCTGCAGCCTTTACAGGATTGTAGGCTATGGGCAGTGAATGTAAGCTGTTTAAGCTGTTGCTCTAGTGAATGCCCTACCTTGCCTGGTCAGAACCATGAGTTCCCTTCCTTATCAGCATCTTTACCACTCTACAACCATGTCTTCCGAACCGATCATCAAGAATAGCCACACTAGATTGTATCCATCAGATATGTTTATGATACTATTTCAAGCTTGTCCAGTCATGAAGAGTTTGTGTACATGCGATGATGCGCATCCCTGAACCATGGGTGGACGCTGAGCAGATCGGCAAGATCCTAGACAGCTCGGGAATTCAGTAAGCTGGGCCACTTTATTATTCTAGTCTGAGCTAACCTTCCAGAACGAACTAGACACTGGGACAAACGCATTGTGGCTTCGAATGATGCCTATCATAAATGGGTCTTCGCGACTATGTTCCGAGCCCTCCAACGTTACGATCCAAACTGGCACTCCGATGGTAAATGCTCCGGACACGGCATTGGCAAAGAACATGCGGACATCGTCGCGCCCTCAATTGATGTGATGGGTTCGATCCTGAAACGCAACGTTTACGCTCTGGCGTAGGCGTATGTCCTTCTGTTGGTCGACTTTTTTCTAAAAAAGACAACGACTTTATACTGAGTGTTATACAAACCATTCCAGCATTCGCCGCGATATCCAGCCTTGGGTTGCTCAGCATGCTGGCGACAAGCAGAATCAGAGGCGGGGGCAACAGTGGAGAGCAAGTCCCGCAGCTAGACCAAGAAGATGACCATGCACTTGCTCAATACACGAAATATGCCCTCGTCGGTGGTAGTGCATGCGTGGGTCTATGTTTAAGGATCCGGCTAATACCCAACAACTCTACATGCTCCGGAAGAGGATCGTCAGTGCGAATGTGGTGATTGTGATAAAGTCAATCATGAAGTAAGATGTATCCAATCAAATGACACAAAACTGTGCAATGCATGTCACCAGCATGCGAAAGCCTGGGGGACATCCAAGGCACATGTTCATCAGTTATACGACCACTGTGTTTGTGATGGTTATTCTGCCTACCAGATATCATCCTTACCAACTCTACAACCATCGCTTCCGAATTGACCATCAAGATCGAAAACATCCACAACTGATTGAATCCATTAAATAGGTTTCTGATACTATTTCAAGTGTGGTTATTATGAAGAGTTTGTGGACAAGCAATCATTGATTGTGTGTGGTTAATCTGGAATTCCTCTATCCTTTTGAACTCTATTCCCGTCAGTTCATGAATGTACTACAATAAATTCGCTTAGAAAGCATTAATAGACATTAGTAGTTCAATCCGCTAAAGGCTAGACCCCCAAGTGCAGTAGACACGAATAGCGGTGTAGTCTCTTTCCAGCCTCTGCCACCTCCCTTCAAGGCAAGCTTCCTGCGGAATCAGGAATGCAGAGGCTCATTAGGGACCCTTACCATCTTGTAGAGACTCATATTAATTGATTCCCACTATTATTGTGAGCGTGAATATTGGAAATCTATTGCGTTCTTAATGGCTGAATTGAAATAATAGAGACGAAAAGTGGGCAATCGGGATGTGGACAACACATCTTCCGAGACAAACTCCCTTGCATCTTCCTCCATGGTTGTTGAAGGTTCGGGTGGGGGCAAGATAACTAAACTGAGGCTTGAGGAAGCTGAGGAAGTTTCGAGTACATAACCCCAATGGTTCCCTCTCCCATTAGCCTTAAGAATATCTCTCCTCGCGTAAAACATTAAACAGACAAGACCTCGCCATGACATCGTCGGCATATAGCCATCACTTCTCCATCAACAATCTTCCGTTTGGAGTTGCATCCTCATCCCAGCATCCTCAAACACAATGTGTTACTCGCCTCAACAACACCGTCATCTTCCTCGGAGACCTGCAGCGAGCCGGTTTCTTCCGCCAGGTCACTGGTCTACCAAGGGGAGCATTCGACAACCCCACCCTAAACGCCTTCGCAGCCCTCGATAAACGAGTCCACAAGCAAGTCCGACAAGCGCTGCAATCCGCCTTACAAGGTTCCGGAGTCGAGAATTTGCCTACAGGAAGCACGGAACCCATCACTGCTGTCCAGATGCATCTTCCCGTCTCAATTCCAGCGTTTACGGGTTAGTGTCTGCTGTCCATCCCCTATGCCAATCTCATGCATGGCGAGGTTAATATTTCCAGACTTCTCTTGCAGCCTCAATCACGTCAAAAATGCAGGCAGGGCAATACTGAACGACGACACCCCGCCACCGGGTTTCTTCCACTTCCCTATCGGTTACGGCGGCCGCGCAAGCACAATCGTCCCCTCAGGGACCCCCATTACCCGGCCCCTAGGCCACTTCTATGACCGATCCGCAGGGGCCGAGAAGAAGACTGTGGTCTACGGACCCTCACAGGCAATGGACTACGAGCTCGAGATTGGTGTTGTAGTCGGCAAGCCCGTGCCGCCGCACCACGGTCTAAACGCCAAAGACGCAGACGAACATATATTCGGGCTGGTGCTTCTGAACGATTGGAGCGGTTAGTCATCTCTGTTTCTGAGATATCAAGAGCAGAGAAATAACTAATAGTCTGCCTCGGATTCTAACAGCCCGCGACATCCAAGGTCTAGAAATGGTCCCTCTCGGCCCGCTCAACGGCAAAGCATTCGGGACCACCATCTCCCCCTGGATCGTAACACTGGACGCACTGGAGCCATTCAAGGTCCCCGGTCCTGAGCCCCGCGTCTCGCTGCCGAGACACCTCCAGGACATTGTGGAGTTTAACTATGCTATTAGTATGCAGGTTGAGCTTGAGCATGGCGCGTCCATGACGCTGCTGAGCGAGTCGCGGGCCCAGGATCTGTTCTGGAGTTGTCGGCAGATGTGTGCACATCTCGCCAGCACGGGGTGTGACTTACGGACTGGAGACATCCTGGGCACGGGCACGGTGAGTGGGCCAACGGAAGGGAGCTATGGATGTTTGCTTGAAACCACGCAGGGCGGGAAGGTGCCTGTGACGTTATCGGATGGGTCATCGAGACATTACTTGCAGGACGGGGACGTGGTGAGGATGTCGGCGGTTGCTGAGGACGCGTCGTCGGGTGTCGGATTTGGTGAGTGCGTTGGTGAACTGAAGCCAGCAAGGGCGGTCCAGTAGATGTGCATTGGGTTTTGAAGCAAGGCAATTCAGATTATATGACTTTAAAAGCAGACTTAAAATGCTTAAACACGGTGAGTCCTCACACTATGGTCCATAAGATAGAAGACACCTAACTATCAAACATCCTACGCTGTAAACCTTGCTCGTCCCTCTTCTTATCCGAGGTCTCCTGGAATTTTCCGCTGTCTTATATAATGTGCGGTTCATTTAGACTGAAAGGGTAAAACGATTACTCGTCCTGTGATAGTCCCGAAGTCTACTATTACGTGCTAGTTTAAAGTCTTTAAATAACCCACCTTGGCCCTGCCATTCTGACCACTAAACAGCAATTCTGCAGCCAACTCGCATGTAGATTTCTTCCACCATGATGCCAGGTAGGTTAAGAAACCCCGAGTATAGGCTAATCTTTCGGATCAGCCATTTTTAAGATTTGTGTATAGCTTAATATAATAAATTATGTAGGTCGCGGGCTTTCCTACGTTGCTCAAATCCGTTATCATTGCGTCCGCTCACTACCAGATTAGGAAGTCCTCCTTGGTTTTCCAAGATTCTCCCAGACTTCAGGAAAATTTCCGTTGGCAGGCACGCCTTTGAGTATATCCTACGTTCTCCTGCAAGAGACAGTAGTCTTTGCGATTTTTACTACCATGACAGACGTCTAATACTTCTCAACAATGACAGCCTCGCTACTTCTTACCGCAACGATCCCTCCGGCCCTCTCCACCATTTTCCTGCCCCCCGCCCTGCCCGAATCATAGCTCTGCGCAGCGAATGTTGCGCCAGAGGTGGCGTCGCTTCCCGGTCCCGACAGCCGAGTTATCTTAGTCCGCTCCCCAAGAATCTGCGAGACGTCAATTGCCATCACTGGAGCAACTGGCCCGCTTTGATCTGATTTGAAGAAACCCATATTGAGAATGATGAGTTTCGCGGGCTTTTCGGTAACTGATGGGGATCCTTCGTAGAGTGCATAAATTACTAGATTCGGATCTGTCACTGGGATGGAGGCGATGTGCGGGTTGTTGAGCGTCAGGGCCGACGCCATGAAAAGCAAGCTGTAGTACCTTCATTCACGACGTCAGTTCTCATCCCATCTTGGCTTCTTTGCACGGAGAGGCTGAAGATGTATTGAAAGACAACTTACGTAGGGTAGACTGTGGCAGCGGTTCCATTATGTGCGACAGGTTGCCACATACTGTAGTAGAATGGTGTCCCCATATGGAAGTACACGCCGCTCATCCCTATAGTCGCACCGTGAAGCATATAGTCCAGCTCCCACAACGCGGCGCCAAGGGTATTACTCACGCCCTGCGCGCCGTGGCAAGACACACTGCCTGTCTCGCCCATTAAGAATGGAAGGCCAGCATCATTTGCAGCCTTGATCTCGGGGGCCCACTGGGAGAAGAATTGCACCAAGGCAGTGTGATTCATGAGACCCTGAAGTGAGACCTGGGCTTCTCGTGCGGCTGGGCTTCGTTAGAAAGAAACCCACATCTCACGGGGTCAATAGCACTTACGATCGCAGCGGGAATACGGATACGTGTGATCCGAAAGCGACACGGGGTAATCCACCTTCTTCGGCAACCCGAGAGCGGTTATCCCCGCTAGCGAGAAATTCCCCTGGTAGACCGGTAGCTGTGCGAGCGCGCCGATTGAAAACCCCTTCTTCGTTTTCTTCCCCAGCTGGTCAAGCCAGCGTTCTTGTTCTGCTACGTATTTGTCCACAGTCCATGGCCTCGAGCGCTGCGACGAGCCATAGAAGTCGGGCTCATTGCCTAGCTCGTATGCCCGCAGGCGCGACGGATGCATATACTTCTCAGCGGCTTCGACTTCAGCAAGGGGCACGGAGACATCGTTGCGGCCGAAGTTAAGACCGAAGATGAATTCCTGGCGCGCTGGAACGTTTTCGTTTAAGACCGTGAAGAGACCTTTGTTGAAACTGACGGCGATGGCTTCGTCGTTGCCGGTTTCATAGGTGTTGTTTAAGGTCTGTGGGCAAGATAATCCAATGCAGCTATCCACATGATGATACGCTTTCAGTTATAGCAACGGCGTATCACATTGCAAGTGAATGATAATTCGGATCCGGTTTCTTGAGTTCCTGTTCGGTATAAATAAGTGTTGTAGGTGACATTGTAATTCAAGCTAGAGCAAATGATGGCTAAACTCGAGATCTCATGCCGTGTCCGGCATGGAAGGACACCACAACATAGGCGCGTGGGCGCAGGCGATCCGAAGTAAGCAAACCGAGTCGCCTGCCTGGGCAGCTCGACCAACCGGTCGACCATTATCAAAACTGTCAACGTGGCCCGTGTTCCCTGTCAGCACGAGTATTATCGTCCCAGTTTGGTGGACCTTTCAAAGCTTCACTGAAAGATGTGTATCTATTTCCTCCGCCATGCGGCCCACAGCCCATAAATATGAACATAGCTTGCATATTTCTCAGGTCTGCTCTAATAGAGCAGTACGATAAAAAGAATGTTGATGAAACTTCTACCAGAACGTGCTGCGTCTCCCCCATTCCCACAGACGCAACCGATCATCAGCCGGGCCAGGGACGGACAGTCCATGTTTACGCTGCACCAGTCTCAGCTATGTTGAGGATATGGCCGCTGGCCCTATAGTTACTGCCTCTCCTTTCACTAGCGTCGTTTTGATTTTTCTCGCCACGCTTTGGATTCTCCTGCTTATAACTGCGCCTGCCATAACCAAACACATGGTTCGTGTTCGCGGTTGGAGGCATTGGTATTCAATATTGTTGCGGGTTGGAGGCGCACACCAGACGCCTTTGGAGTCCCAATTACTCTCCAGGATGTTACTGGGGAGACAAAGGCCATGGGGACCTTAATCGCTGTCGAAAAGTACCCACGCTTTGGGGGAAAATATGTGTAGTACTTTCTTCCCAGGAGAACTACGACCGGAAGAGCTGGAGCAATGGGCGTCCTTGGAGGTCCGAGTGAACAATCTAATACCCAAACTCAGTGTAGAGAAAGAATGCACAGTGCCGTCCAGAGAAGCAACCAGCGTATCTCTCGGTTTAATTCCCATGCCCACTCGGAAGCTAGTGACGCAGGCCAGCACGGGGGACGATAGGCTTAAACTGCTTCACGAATGGCTCAAAAATGACGCCCTCAGATCTGGTGGGGGGAAGTTTTTTGCATGTAGTTAACTTACTGGTGCCTGGGTAGAATTTTGAGTTGCATAGCTAACTTATTTACGGAGGAATCAGTGATGCTCTGAGTAGTAACTCGTGGCCTCCAGATAATTTACCCTGTGGAACGTCTGAGTTTGCCTCAGTGCGCTCAGACTACCCCGTACAGCCAATGATGAGGCAAAAATTTGCCAGATTTTTGGCACGCTAGATCTAATTGGTTGCTTCGTCAGCCCGGAGCCAGCCTCTGACCATGTTGACAGGCAAGAGACTAGCAAGGCTGACATCCCTATCATATGCTACTAGACTAATGTAGTTGCCTGGAAGACCTTCGCTTTGCTGGACTGTGGGTGTTGTGATTTAAAAAGCAAAAATGAAACTTTATCCCTGTCTCTATAGCCAGTTACCGTTGGTAAATAGTAGGTAACGGTCAGAAAGGCTTCTTGCAGGAATCCTCAATTGGCTCTACCTCGTATATTCAGCTGATAGGTCATCAGAGCGTACTAATATCCTCATTTAATAGTTTTCTATTCCCCGGATTAGAACTCATCATTAGCGCGAGTCAAGTGTCCTCCCGAGCATCGTCTTTCCTTTGTTCAAGGGCCTTTATACTCTAATTTCATATTTCTCGCGCCAATCGCAGTCCTTCGTGGTTACAATGGACCATCTCCCGAAGGTTGAGGAGCCTTACCATCGCGAACTGCAGATCCCTCTGTTTGTGAAAAAAGGACAGGAATATGATGGGGTAGGGCTGGAAGATTTTCTCTCTTTTCCATCAAAACAAGGGCTTAATCTGGAAAGGCTGAAGTTCGGTGACTTTGGGGAACGAACCTTCGAAGATGTCATATCTTGCATCCAAGCTTGGGGTTATTTTGGAATGTTGCAAGAGGTACTCAGAGTAGGCAACGTCAATATGCGATTTGATTTTTCGGGTGGTGAGGAGACCGAAGGTATATTTGTCTCGACAACTAGTAAGGGGTTACCAGATCTGATTCGCTTTTGGTACGACCATGAGGAGGTCGTCGATAGAGAAACGAAGAATGTTCACGCAGAGACAGTATATAAGATAACCCGGGCTGTGCGTGATCTGATATGGGGTATCACGCATCAAGAATTCCGCGGCGGAAGCGTCAGTACGTCTACCGACATTCTCGACGAGGATGAGGAGAGTATGAAGCTGTCCAGCATAGTCAAGGATCTCAGTCACGAAATTGGTATGATAGTCACTGACAAGTACTACGATCGGAATCCGAACTTCTACACGGCCGAAAAGGGGTGGGAGGATGAAGAGTTCAAAATTGGCGAGGTCAATTGGAAAGTGGGAAGAACTGGGTCCAAGGCGCATCAACTCATGCTCAGTATTGTCGTTCTCGGTGAAACATTGACCAATGCAGCCTCTGTTATTTATGAAGGCTTCAACACCTATAAGTGGCCATTATGTCCTATGGTCTCGTTCTTGATGGAACTGGTGGGGTGGTGTCCGTTCCAGATCTCGCAGCTCTCCACACGTTGCACCAATTCACACCTTTACTACCTGAGCTTTTTCAATCAACAGCAGTTCTCAAATAATCACAGGAGATGCTGCAAGGACTTTTGCCTGGCATACCAGATAAACGAGGAAATATACGAGACACGCCATGTGACAGCAGATTGCAATTGCGCGTTCATCTCTTTTGCTGAATTGGCGGATGTTTTCACTTGGATTGAGCAGGGAGGCACAGCACTAGTTAAGCGCGAAGTCAAAGACACAGGAGAAGGAATTCAGAAAATCTGGCGTCTGGTACCCAGTCATGTGGATGGCACAGTCGCTCGCTATGTGTGCATTTCCCATGTCTGGGGTGACGGAATGGGTAATCCTCGTCAAAATTCACTTCCGGAATGTCAGCTTGAGAAATTACAAGATGCCGTGAATGGGCTTCATGAATCTGACGAGGACTTTCCATTCTGGATTGACACCGTCTGTATTCCTCTCCAGCAGCCGTTCCGCAAACAATCGATTAGATCCATGGCGAAGATCTACCAGAAAGCGGAAAGCGTCCTCGTCATAGACAACACGCTTACGAACGTGAGTACGCAGACGAGTATTGAAGAGATTATGTCCAGGATTGAAGTGTCTGGCTGGATGGGTAGATTGTGGACGTTGTCAGAGGGTGTGGCTGCATCAAAACTATACTTCAAACTACGACAGCACGCCGTGGTAGTCGAGCATTTGCAATATGATTATCGCCTGAAGCGTCTTAGGGCAGACGTTGAACGATTCCGAGAGCTATCCGCAGACAGGAAGAACCCCATGTTCGGACTATTAGCACGTCAATTGCGAGGTATGGAGTCCATGTCTCCATCGACCATGACTCGCACGGAGCTAGCAAATCTCGAGTTTAACGAGATTTACTTCTCGGTTTCAACAAGATTAGTTCAAATGCGACTACCAAAACGTATAGCAGAAGAGTACTGGACAGATGATAGCCGATTCTATTGGATTCTCTCTATGCTGACCTCAAGAAACACAAGCAAGGCAGAAGACGAAGCAATCTGTATCGCTCAGTTGCTCGATATGGACGTGCAACCAATGCTTGAAATGGATCCAGAGACTCGGATGTTATCGTTATTCCTCAGATACTCGCACCTTATCCCCTCCGGGATCATATTTGGTAAAAGACCAAGAGCGCAGCGAATGGGTTTTCGCTGGGCGCCATTGTCCCTTATGCAGTCCGATTTCAGCTTGTCTGGAAAAGCCGAAAGGCTGACTGAGGACGGTATTTATGCCTACTACTGCGCTCTCTCTTTCCGGCCCTTTACGTTCATGTTTCTATGTACCCACTTCGGATTGATTGACTGCTCGAGCGGGACCCGCTACTTGGTCGACGTCCATGGGATTGCCGAAAACGAGATGTTGCACGTGAAAGAGACGATGCACATAATTATCGAGTGTCCGCTTGGTCAGAAAGACGAGATCAAAGGCCTTTTGGTGAACGTCTTAGGCGAAGAAAACGGAAGTACTTTTGCAGAAATTGTGAGACCAGTCGTGATCAGAGACCTTGGTGCCCGCAAAAATCTTCCAGATCACGAATGCGCAGCAGTAGATCCTGTTGTGCCAAATCGCCTCTGGTGTCTTGGTTAGCTTAGGCGTACTGTTGCAAATGGTAGGTAGCGCTGCTGAGCTGCCAATAGGTAAAGGCCCATGAAGGCGCATGTCAGAGGGAGAAACTGCATACATGTTATTATTTTACCCTGTTACTAAGCGACACAAGTATTTTTAACCACACTACTATACTGTAGTAACAGACCTATTGCGGGCCTTAATAGTACGGGAGTCCTCATGTATAGGACCATAACTAAACTGAGTGCTGGCGCAGTGGTATTAACATCAGCACCATACTGCAGGGCCCTTTTCAGGATGTCCATGTAGCCGTGAATGGCAGGCCACTGCAGCGCATCACTATGGTGTTGTTGCACGCCCCGTTGATATAGATATTCTCGAATTCACTCTCATTGAGTGCCTCAACATTTAGAGCTCGCATTTAATGGCTATAAATCAAGGGAATCCATATTAAATAACGGTCAGGACTGGGTCTAGATAGCAGTGCTGAAGTCCCACTTGGGGCGCGATGCTGGACTTTTTTGTAGATGGCCGTAAATAGACTTTCATATATCATGTATTCCCCTTCTATAAGTAAGCACGCATACATGCAGGACTTGGAGGAAACTCCTAAGTAATGTACATTTTCGAAGGCGTCTATACAGTGATATAGGGGTCTGTCTTTATATAAAGTCTAGGAACCTCCTTACTAGATCCTCGAGGCTCTCGCTAGCTCCGGTGCTTAAACTGGAAATACTAAAGGCGAGATAATAATAGAAATGACCATGGGAGACTAGACATGATAAAGAAGGTATTAGATGTTGTCTCTACATCTAGCTAGATCTTCTCCACAATTAATAAGAGTTGGATACCTGGATTAGGTAGCTGGGTTAATGTAAGGAATCCAGTCAGATTCTGATATTCCCACAAGGCCAAAAGACCAACATTTCTGTGAGATGGGAACCATCTCGCGAACCCGGAATTATAAGGTAGCGCACAGGGTAGATTCCCCCAACGGTTAAAGGTAGGATCTAGACCTGGTGGCAGGGCCCCCAGCCTCTTCCTTGGTTTCACGGGATTCCCGGCATAGGCAAATGCTACCTGACGACGAAGACCGTCAGCGATTTTGCGATGCAGAGCTCTCCGACCCATTTGGGCCGATTTGGGCCGGTAGTTTGACGCCTTTGGTGCTGTCAAGCTCCAGCTGTGCTGTAGCCTCGGTTACGATTTGGATTGCATGCTCGAAGTGGTTTCGGGGCTGGGTCCTCAACACCGACCAATTAGTCCCCAATAGCCATGACCGCCGGTTATTTGGCGGTGGCCAGAGCTCTGGTCAAGAAGCTGACCCAGGATCAGAGATTAACTAATCTTCTAATTAACGTGAAATTTCAGAACTTCCTCTGAGCTGAGGCTAGTTCAGTCTATCTCCGGGATGGATCGACCAGATAAACCTTAGACCGAACACCATTTTATGGAAACTGGTACAAATCTTGGTGGGAGGCTCAACATGTTGTGCAAGGTGAGAATAAACCTAACATATCATCATGGGCCCCGGCTATCGAAGATCAATAATAGATAACAGACTCGGTGTGATATTTCTAGAGCTGCTTGGATTAAATCGGTGCCAACATGCCAACTACCAACCTTCTATGGGACTCCAGCAAATCCAAGTTTCCAACTGGTTATCTTATTTATCGGGTCTGTCCATACCCAATCGATGTCCCCTTTACTGGATATTTCAGTCCCTCATACTACTAAGTGGCGATTCCCGGTTGGTCCGATATAAAGATCACCTCTTAAATCGGCTTCGACTCAACGAGGTATAATAAGTAATCCAACAGGATGCACGTAGTTAAAACACGCTAAACACGCTAAACCTAACATAGTTCAATGTTATGGCTTAGTAATGACCAGGGCCTCCAACATGTTTAAAAGCTGGGGGCTGCCTTGGGTGAGGTTTTGGCCCCTAAATTCTACCGAGCTGGCGACAACTACCCAGCTGGCGACAATATGGGCAGCGGGGGGCACTATGATATCCTGATTCCCTTAAAAGACCGTCCCTCCGCAGGGTATCCAACGGACACCAATGAAATCTATCAGTACGTCCCTAACTAATTACCTTTTTAGTTTGGGAGGCGATCCTAAAGGCTGACTGTGCTGCTCTCCCTAGAGAAGCAACACCGTCGGATGGACCAGTGGCACCTCGCCGAGTCAGTGTTGACTCCAACGGCAGTATACGCATCAAGGAAAATGGACAGGACCGATCAAAGCCAGAGCGTCGAAAAATCTTTGTACGGCGGGGCCGGTCGACCGCTGTTCGTTATTTCCTTCAATTCCATATGATTCCACTCGCAGCCGCAATAACGCTCATCATCCTGAACATCCAAACACGGTTCCTTGGGCCCGATAGCCAATGGTCAAATTTACTCCAATTCATCGCCAAGTTCCACGAAATCCTGATGCAGATCTCGATCGCGACGGCGATGGGCGCCTACCAACAATACCTGCTCACTCAACCCACCTCTGGGGTGCCGTTCGGAGCTATTTTCTCTGCATATCACACCACGCAAGTAGGCTATTTATGGTCACCTGAATTCCGTGCCAGTTTAACGACTGCTGGGTTCCCACTGCTTCTAAAGATAGGGTTTGTAGTTTTTGTGCCTGCGAGCATCTTACTTGCTGCTGCTGTCGGGCCTGCGAGTGCGATTGCACTATTGCCCAGACCCGTCAATTTCACCATACCCGACTACCAATTAGCATTGGATCACACATACAGTGATATCTTTCCGACGGCATTTATCCAGTCTGGCTCGCATTTAGAAGATGGAATTTTTAAACGTAAGATACATGATTTTGGCAATTGTTGAAAGCACACGGCTAAACATGTGTGCAACTCAGAAAACGAACAATCCCCTGCCATCGGTTGGGAATATCTTAGAGGTCTTCCAAGCGTGGGAGAAGACCAGCCCACATTGGTCGGGACGCAGGAAGTGAATAAGGATTTGGGAAATGGATACGGAAAGTCTGTCGAGGAGATGCCACCACTATACCCACTCGACCTTTTGACTGTTGTTCCGCGTACTCTCTCAGTCTTTGACAAATTCGCAAGAACTTTATACATGCAATATGCCCCCAACGGCACAGTGGCTACGGTGCAGCAGGTCCCGGTTGCAGCAGGCCTCTCCAGGGCTGTCATTAGCTCCCTTGCAGGAGTGAAAAATGCAGCTACTACTGGTGAGGCAAGCATCCGAATCGCACATCCGCTTGTGAGCACCATTTGCGTGCTGAATGCGATTATGGATGAAAATGACAACCGCTCCATTCAATTCCCTGTAACTTATCTTGCTACAAATGCCTCGGGAGTTGAAACCGCACCTTACACTAATATCACCCGACGACAGCTCTGGGACCAAGTGCAGAATCAAGGGCAGGGGCAAGTCATCTGGGTCGATGATGCTCCTTTCTCGACGGAACGAACGCTAGGCGCCATCGTTGTACAGCCGGATCTCTGCGACAATGGTCAAAAATATATCAGTATGTCCGCATGTGCAGTAAGCGGGCAGTGGGCCAACATAACCTCTCGGATAGTGGTTGCAACAAACGCGTCAGCCACGATGTTCGACTACCGAGTGGAAAGCCTTCTCCCTCGCGATTTTCTCAACGCTCTCCCAGCATGGCCGCTACATGCGGTCTCCATATCGAAAAGTTGGGCGAACAGCATTACGACCCAAATCGGTAATCTGAATCGAACGGTGGCGGACAATCTCCTACGGTCTCTCTTATTGACTGACAACGTGTGCCCGGTAAACGGTAGCTACCCGCTGTACTTATCAGCGTCACGGCCTATGATGCACGAATCCATCGTCTCATCTTTAGTGGCAAATGGCATGTCTCACGCAGCAGGTCCCTTCAAAATGTCAGCACAAAATCTCCACGACGGCAATTTCCGATGGATAACCCCAAGTGGAGACCTGGTGAAACCCCCCGGTATGATCCTGACGTTCCAGTCTCATGTCCTGGGTTTTGCATGGAATATGGATGGGACAGCGATCAGAATCGCTATTCCGATCCTTATTTTGTACTGTCTATACGCAACTATCTATGTTGCGTACACGTTCATCACAGGACATAGCTCGCATGCTTGGGACACGATATCAAGCCTTACAGCTTTGGCGTTCAATTCAAGGCCCACCAAGGTACTGGAGAACACAAGTGTGCGCATTTCACAGGCAGAAACCTTCCGAAATCTAGTCAGCGTTCAGGAAGTGGGGGCGGACAAGCGGTTGGAGCTGGTCTTTCAACAGGATAACCAGGATCGAGGGCCAGTGCGGCGGGTTAAGCCTGGTAAATCATATTCATAGACCGTTACTAACATATATATACATTACCATCTTCATGAATATATCAATCATTTGATCTACCCTCGCACACAGTGCTATAACAAGAGGTAATTTTCACTGAACCGTTGTAACGACCGACTCCTTCTCCCAAAGGCCTAGTCGTGACCATGATGATAGGAGGGTCAGGCAAGCAATCCGTTCCATGGCAATATGACTCTTCCCACTATTCGTGCTTGTATAGACTCGAGGGACACGTACGCTCGTGTTCTCACGGACAAATATCATGTTCTCCCTCAGGCAGGTTTATACCAATTCCAAACTTCACGACAGAATGGGCCTCAATTACAGCAACTTTCCGTGCTCCGTATTGCTCCGCAATATCGGAAGCCTCATCGATTTCAGCTTCGGTAGGTAGTTGGCGAGGCAAATCAACCGCGTGTTACGGTAATTTGGTTCTGTAGTCATCGTCGGTAGCTTGTTTGTAAACAGAAATTCGACCCAGATGACAGCAAGTCTCATAAGAACAGGCGTCAGTTGGGAGAAGCGAGCTTTATGGATTGCAGTGGAGTGTGATGATGATTGGATATTTTACATCTGAGACGCATATAAAGCAGTGGCCTGCAGCCCAACTGCGGCAAGGCACCAGTATGTTCTGCCTTCCCTGTATCCGAGGAAGGGTAGCCTATAGCATCTTCGGCCGTTCTACGCCGGCTTTTCAGTACCAATGTTCAGGGAAAGAGTTTGAGATTCGCGGACACAAGTCACTCCAAAATTCGACATGCGCAGGTGCGACGACTCTACTCACGCCGAGGTCTTTTCCTGGACTGCTGCGACTCTGATGCAGAAGAGTCTGCAAGGACTTTTACAGTCCCTAGTTTACAAAGACTTGCAGGCTTTCCCTAAATTCACATCGGGCGTCCGTGCTGGACGATGGCAGAAAGCGATCCCGGAGTCCAAGGATATTACATGCCGTGCGCTATATGTAGATTTAAAGACGCATGTATAAACCTATGCTCCGGTTGAATCATATGAAAGTGTCTTTAGTTCATAGATATGGTACATGCGCAAAGTACAACACCAACAAGGCTGCGTTGCTATTTTTAGCCAAGATGACCAGGGCCAGAAATGCGGCGCAGCATCATAAAAACCCCGCAACATCGTCTCATTTTCTCCCTTGCGAACTCTGGACAACATCAAAAGTATGCAAAATGCCAGCCGCCCGTTGGAATCCCAATACTCTTCTCCAAATCGACGAGGGCTCAGGATTGGGCATGTTCTGTGTTGGTTTGGAGCGCTCCAACTACGACAGTCGATGTCGGATGGTTCTCTGGGAGGATAGGTATAATGCCATTTGCTGTTTGTTAGATGATATATCGATGAAACTGCCACAGCAAGTGACCAAGGTTGAACTCAGGCGGCTTGCTCGATTGGGATTGTGCCAGGTCCATGGTTATCAGAGGAAAGAGGTTGTGGCTAAATGGGAGGACATCCTTGGATGTATCGAGGGCATCAGCGGGACTTACGAACATCAACGAGAAGAGATCACTCAAGACTTGAAGAAACTGCAGAAAGAGGTCGATGAGTGTAGAAGCTTGCTTTTAGTCAAGGAGGATTGTAAGGATGATCTTTCTGTGGTGCTTCGTCGGCATCTTAAGAGGAATGCACGATTGAAGAAGGAACTAGTGGAGAGTCAAGCGACTTGTGCTCGGCTGCAAAAAGATTTCGCGAGGCTCAAGGGCCAAAAAGAGGAAACCTTTCGACTCTCTGCCGAGAACTCTCACCTATCAGATTTACTCAAGAGCGCTGAGGGAGAACAAGAACGCTACAAGAGCCAGGAAACCAACCTAACTGCAGAATGCGAGAAACTGCGCAAGCAGAATGCAGCATTGCAAGCAGATATCAACTCTGCGAAGGACCACTATAAAGATCTACAAGATCGGGAACAGTCAGCAACTATGGAGCTGATGGCAATGACTTCTCAACTTCATGAAGCTCAGTCTCTCAACCTGGGCTTGGAAAACGATAAGAAGACCTTGCAGTCAGAGATCGACATCCTAAAACGAGAGGTGGAGGAATTGAATGATAAGAATACCTCCGTCTCCTCCCAGCTTGCAAGTGCTGCAGCTTCTCTGAAGACAGTGACAGAGAAGCTGTGTGCCGCTCATAAAGAGAACATGGGGTTTCGTGATGAGCTCATAACTGCAACTAGAGAGATGATGGAGCTACGCAATAAGGTCAGGCAGCTATCGACTCCAGTCTGGTACAGAGTGATACGATGGATTAAGAAAAAGCTTTCGGGTCTCGGGCATTTGCGGAGCCCTGGCAAGGAAGTGTCAGATGCAGAGGAGGGAGTGGCGCTGGCCCCAACCGCCTCAGGCAGAGATGCAGGACTGGCTTGACGGGGCAGAACGATTAGTACTGGGTGCATATGAGCAGCCTAGCGAGATACCTTTGATGCAATTTGCGAGTCGCTGAACTGATTATTGAGCCTGATCTTCTGTTCGTCAGTCTTTGTTCTAGCCAATTCAAGTTTACCAAAAAGCTCGGAGGCATCGCATTTGCCTGGTACAATTCGGTAGCTGGTTAGTGTTGTAGACAGGCAAGGTAACCCTATGTAGCTCACCGCATCACCCATATCAGAAGCACTTGACAGTGGGATTGCGTTACACACTGTACTTTCTTCAGTTACAGTCAACTCTATGTCGATGTGATGATCTAGTACTGGTAATCGGGGGCTAAAATGTCCAGCGCCCTAGGTACCTTGCATTCCGTTAACAAGTAATTATTGCAGTGCGATAAGGTGCACGGGGAGGTGCTGGCTGTGGGAGCAGAGAAGGATGTCATTGTCTGGAAACGGAGCGCGAAACTGCCACCGCCCGATTGGTTGTGGAAAAGATCTTACAGACGTACCCTTGCCTCGAATTAAGCAGTAGAGCTAATCCAGGTGACTTACATTGGTGGAGGAGTGTATTAGGTTGGTTTAAGGCAGTGATTAGCCTCCGTTCAATGATCCTGAGCGGGCAAATGCCACCAACCCCACGAACACTATCCACTGGAGGGTATTTCACCTAGTTGGACTCGCACCAGGACGATGAGTCTAAACGAGTGCCCTAACCATTCTGAGGGCGGGAAGCAACGCGAGAGCCATGCATTATCTTGTAACCCCTATTGCTCTCGGTATTCCAGTTTAATCAACACAAACAGACTCGCCTTTTGTGAGGACTAGCATTCGCCAGAGGCCTTTCCCCTAAAAGCTTCGAACAAATGGCGATGGATCCCATCAGCTCTGTTGGGAACGTTGTTCACTTTATCGGCTTTGCAACAATGACATCTGGGAATGCAGAAAATTATGAAATCAATCTGTCAAGAAAGGGTGCCGCAAGTTCAGCAACCGTTGCTGAGCATGAGATCAGAAGCACTTATTTACGGCGGAAATTCAACGAAATGATGCAGCCTCGCTTCTTTTTCCCTCCGTCAGCCGCCACAGTCGGCCCATTTCCAATCATCGACACCCAATGCCTGGGTATTTGTCCCTTTTTGCCCATGGAGGTGTCACACGCGCTCCTCTCGATCAAACGTGCGAAACACGGCAGGGATGAGCGAGCCCCTCTTATGCCCCGAATCGGCGCTTCGCCGTATTACGACATCTAAAAAGTTCGACTCCACCAACTGTCCACTCTTTTCAACCTAGTGTAATGGAGTTAGACATCCCGACGGGTGGGTTAGACTCCGGCAACAATGTCCACTTCCAACCCGCGCGTTGTACAGTCGCTGAAATTAGGCGGGAACCTGTACGTTCCATCCATCTGGATCAATTCAGCAGGTTCCCTGACTCTGTTGCAGTCGAGCAAACGCAGTGAATATGTGAAACAAGATCTCAATCCGGAAGAAGTTGAAGATTGGATTGAGGAGAAGGTGAGTGACCCCAGTCAAATTTCCTGCGCCGGAAAATAACTGCGCAGGGTACATTCACCAACAACAACTCTAGACCCTTTCGAAGGGTGAGATTGATGTATGTCTCTCCCCTGCTTCGCTTGGAGCGAGTATTGCTAATATGAGGTCAGATTCCCATGTACCTCGCCAACAGCTCTGGATGTAGACGGAAACTATCTGTCATCGAATGAGACATTGGAGCTGGCCATAAGTCAAGAGAGATTCACCCAGCTCACGCAACGGTACCATTTCGCTAGCGTCTTGGACGCCTGGCGATATCGATCATTGTCTGGGTGCAGCGTCCGCAAGATCGAGCACGATAGCAGTGGAGAAGTCACATCCATCAGTACGCCCCATGCCTCTTTTAAGGAAGTTGCTAACAGTGACAGTATTTACAATATCAATCCGACTATCGGGGTCCTTTGCCTCGATACTCGCTATCAACCACGATTTTGCAAAGAACTCCGCCGTTGTACTCGCCTTGCGAGTCAGTACATACGATCAGACCCTGCTTCAGCAGGCGTTAGAGCGACATCACGACTTAATTGGCCATCCGCTCCTCGTCCCAACTACCCTGGTCGAGATCTGTCTCGAGACTAACAAATGGTTCTCATTAAAGATCCTGCGTGAACTCAGTGTCGTCGAAAAAGCGACGGGCCAGCATGGATGGCTCCAGATCCCCGCAGCGGATGCGCCAGCCCACGACAGCGAGCTTTCCAGGCTGGGACACGCAGTAAAGCAATACATCTCGATCTCGCGGCGGCGCCTGGATTCCATTCAGTGTTACCTTGACATGATCATGCGGAGTGTCAGGGACCTTGAGAATCATATTCCAGAAGGCCGGGCTCAATATGAACAGTGGATCGGGAATATTGAGCTTCTACTCAAATTTCGCCAGGTCGACATGACCTATAGTGAGCGACGAGCGGACAATCAGATTACAGCAGTACTGAGCCCAACAGTGTATGCAAGTGTTCAGTGGCCTCGGCTAATATATACTAGATCTACGGACTCATCAGCCAGCGAGATAACATGGTAGGCGTCTCCGTGGCCATCGAATCCAAGAAGGTATCCGAAGCTTCCAAACGCGATGGATCCGTCCTCAAGTCGCTCGCCGTCCTCACGGCAGTTTTCTTTCCAGCCACATCCATAGCGGTAAGATATCCACCGTACCCCAGATTGAATGTCTCAACAGCTAGAATCTTGGGTCTAGACCCTTTTTGCACTTCCGCACTTCTCAGACACCCCATTATGGGTATACTGGGTCATCGTTGTCCCCCTGACCCTGGTCATCTTCAGCTCGTGGGCATGCTGGACATTTTACCGCCAGCGCCAGATGACGCACGATTCCAGCCATCGGGATATTGAAGAAGGGATTCAGCTGCATCCTGAACGAGATTTTCCGCCGTCTGCGTCCTTCCTTGCTTCTACTCTGTGCCAGATCAGGTCGCAGACGAAGCATCTTCATTCGCCTCAGTAGGGAGATGTCAAGTCACGGTAGGGAATATGGGCTCGCGAAGAAAGATCGCTAGGCCATGACATGCATAGATCGAACTGAAGTGCAGATGTATTTCCTATACATGCTAAATATTTTCGGGCGCAATCATGTGGGATTCATAAGGTACCGCCAGACTCAGACAGAAATAACAGGGCATAACTCTACCAGCATGCTTGTAGCCAGCAAGACCGTTTAACAGTATCTCATCAAATAGAAATCAAATTCAACCCTTTGCAAGCATCGTCGACAACAGGCATACCTGATGCTTAGAAGCACGATGTCGGGCATCGATAATATTATTAATGGGTAAGCAGTGCCAGCGAGCAATATCTAATACATTAAATGGCTTCCTACCTCTCCAAGCTTTTGCTTCTAACCGACTACTGTTGGAACCTAAAGGTAACTCTTTCTCGGCATATGAAGGAAGGAAGTGGTCCAAACTAGTTTCTAGTAATCGGTCAGATATATACAACGTACCCGAGCATCTTCTCTAATTCTCCTGTACAGACTCATACCTTGTCAACTCCTGGCTATTCTGTCCTATCCCAGTACAGATAGGTGTATTTTTCTGCTTAGAGACTTATCTCTATGCAGTCCTCTGTCCACGTCCAGGGATAGTGAGTGGACCGACTACGAGGCATAATTGTCGCCTTCCACTGAAGCCCCCAATGACTAATTGAAGTCTTCTTGGCATAAATAAACGCAACAGAGAGGTCAATCACAACACGAATGACTAAGTACTGAACCCCAAGGGGCGAGCTGGCTGTCGATAGTGAATCACCGCCACAGCATTACACTTGCCGGCTTCTGTATGGGCCTACTTAGTGGGCAGCCTTGCTCTCAGTCTTGACCGAGCCAGTAAAGGATGCCTAACGTATCGCGGCTCGGGAAAGTTTGTCATTAGTCAGGTGGGATTGAATTGCAACACGCCCGGTGGGATTGCCGGATTATCAATCAATCCAGCCTGCGTCATTGACGAAAACGCAGATAAAGTCCAGCGTAGTTTGACCCCTTCTTTCATCCCCGGCGACCACTGAATGAATAAAACATATGATCATGGCAACAACTGATAACTCCAAGCCCTACATACCTCTTGCTGGCAGTGCCAATGATGGCTGGTCCACAGAAGACCAGGCGACTGCTACATGCTACTGCGGTATTGTGCAGTTGGTTTTTGTAAGTACTATTCAGTACACAAGCGCTGTTCTTTACTATAATCATCTCGTCCTGCTAAAGCCACGAACCACCTTCAGCCGACGCAAGGCCCTGGCCTCCTTGACACATTCGCCTGTCACTGCACGGACTGCCGCAAAATAACTGCATCGATGTTCGCGACCAATTTCATCGTTGCAGATCCATATCTCAAACACCTGCGCGGCGAAGAAGCACTCACAAAATTTAGCCAGTCGAAGACCACCACCTCTGGCAAGGCAATGGCGAACTACTTCTGTTCAAAGTGCGGCACGCTCATGTATCGGACCAGTGAGCTGATCCCGGGACACAGCATCCTGCGCACCGGAACTGTGGATGATTTTACTCTGCATGAAACGAAATTGAAGCCACGAGCTGAGCTGTATACCAAGGACCGTGTTGGTTGGCTGTGTAGTGCAAGGGGCGTTGAACAGGTTGAGGGAGCAACTCTTGCTCCCAAGGATGGTAGCCTTCCTAATCAATGAATTGGGCAATTGAAGAGTCTCTCTTGTGATCCTGAATGAATGAATCTTTGCCCTTCCACCCTTCTACGCTCAGTATTTCCGAAGATATAACCCAAAGAGCAAAATTTTGGCGAACCTCTAACACTGACCGGCCGCATTAATCAGAGCGTGTTTCTTGGCAATTCTTCAGCATAGCAGACTGGTTCTTATTAATAATATAGCTATAGTACTGTCTGGTTTCTACAACAGATATATTCCTGTAGCTAATATCTCCGCTAACTTCTTTGTAGCTAAGATAATAGTTTACAAGTATATTTAGCAGTATAGTATAATCTGCTCTAGGTTGTCTCAGAATAAGTAATATCTTCCTTAGCTTAACGTATCCAAACGAACTTTTAATAAAGACGCTAGTTTTGGTGCCTTTGCCACGCTATAGAAACGGGAAAGCCAGAAAAAGATGTTTTTATTAGATATAGCGTTGCCGCCAATATTTTTAATAGTAAGGTTCTGCCAGGCTACTTCGAATATTTTAGGCTTCTTTTTACTGTCTTTTGGTTATTCCCTAATTTAGCATAATTTAGAAACTATATACCAGATTGACTCGGTACAATAAAGACTGTAGAGGCGGTTAGCACCTGAACGCCTGAAGCACATGACCCAGAGATAGAGGATGACATTGGTAATACCGAAAGGAGCGAGTCATAAAACTGTGCACAACTAAATTAGCTTGCTACCGAGCTGCATTTCTCCCCGCATTGTCATTTCTCCCCGCATTGTCTTGAAGCTCTAAGCATCTGCAGAAGGTGAAGAGCAAACAACAGAGCTCCATATAAGGAATTTTGTCGGTATTGAATCAAATTCGAGCTAAAACCAAGCTGTCGTTACATGCAGCGAGCTGTATAGACGGTAGAGAAGTCAATCACTTCTGGTAAACTACGTAGAAAAATAAAGCACTGCCATTTAAACAAAAGTTTGTAATACAGCATCCCGGTGCTCTTCGAGGTATTTGGAAAAGCTGGTCATTTCGATCTTATACTTTTCCAACGCCTTAAAATTGACCTGATATCCAACCTCATTCGCCCACAGCTGAGCCCAAAGTCTCGGATCACTCGCAGCGCGGCGCTCTGCCTCGTCTCGAGAATAAAATTCAAGAGCAATTTCCTTCCCACTCGCTAAGCTCAGTCCACGCACAATGTCTGCCGGTTTGAGGGACTCAGCGCCCAAGTCGATTTCACACCTATTGAAGCGTAGTGGTTCAAGAACAGCTGCTGCTGCGAATTTGCCGACGTCACCGGGATCAACCATAGTCATTCGTGTGTTGGGATTGTATGCCGTCAAGAAGACGCAATTCGTGACCAACTCAGGAAACATGGAAGAAGCCTTCGGCTGATGGTAGTTGTTCATGAGAAATGCTGGTCGTAAGATAGTCCAATATTGGAACTCAGCATTCCGCACCATCATCTCGATTTGGGATTTGTTTGTCCAGTACCATGCCAGAGGATATTCCGGCCCCCAGTTCGGAAATGTCTCGTGCTTTCCTGTCATTGCCACACTGGAGTAGATCATGGTTGAGACAGAACCAGATTCTTTGGCAGCGTCTATGATATTTTTGGCACGCTTAACCTCCAGGCTTGAGTCAAGCGGATCTGGTGTCACATTGAGGAATATAGCACTCGCGCCAGATATAGCAGCCTTCAGAGACGTCGTATTATCAAAGTCGCCCAGGAACAATTGAACTCCCTGGGCTTGGAGATCGATAGCAGCTTTTGACGACGTGTCCCGGACCAGCGCATGAACCTGAACCCCGGCGTTCAAGAGTTGACGGGCAGTGGCACCACCTTGGTAGCCGGTAGCTCCAGCCACAAAAGCAGTTATAGAGTCCCGGGGCATAGTAGCTAATAAGCAGGAACGCTTTCAAGCCAATAAGTGGGACAATTCAAGAGAGCAAGAGACGTGGTAAGGGGAACAAAGATAATCTAGTGCGGTCAAAAAGTCAGAGAAGAGTCCGAGAATTGGGAGTATTCTGGCTTATTTATACCGCTACCATCGAGCTGTCTACGACATTCATTTTCTGCATTGTGTAGAGCACAGCAGTCTACACCAAGGTACCTTGTATGAATTGGATATTGTGTGCCATAACTAGTATGCAAATCGACATTCATATTGATTGATGCGTCCGCCTATGGAGAAACTGGGTCCATAACTAGCCCCTTATTGGTTGAGAAATTTGTCAGTAAAACATCGGCTATTCCAGAAAAAGTATGCAGTTCGACGAAAGTTTCGATTTCATCGCTGCCCATCATGTAGTTAACTAGTTAACTAACATGACGGGAAATTGTTAATTAATTACTAAGTAAGTTACGGGAGTGGCGGAAACCATCTAACCAAATGCTCATGTGACAAGGCAGCCTTTCATACACATCTGCAAAAAACTGTTTCTGACTGATCACTTCACACACTTCTTGTTCCTGCATCCTATCTCGTACCCAGAAACAAGTCGGCCGAACGTCGATCACCACACTGCGACTGCCCAGAGCCGGTATGGTCTATTGTGGGAAACCAAGTAAAGCCTGCTTGGAGTGTAGAGTTAAGAGACGAAGGGTACGTCCTACGTGTTCGATTATCAGGTAGCTTTCTGTCTAGCCTCGTACAGTGCTCACCTATGCTAGTGTAATTTGTCAAGACCATCATGCGGTCAATGCCTCAGAGCAGGTGCAAAGTGTGGGGGGTATCGCGATCCCCGTTCTCTTCTCTTTCGCGACCAGAGTGCGCAGGTCATATGCCAAGCAGGCACTGCTCAACCCGGCGTTCATAAACGCAATGTTGCTGAAAACCAGCTAGGGCCTGAGAAGCCTAGACAATGCCAACAGAAACTGATCCTCTCATGCATGAATCAATCAATATTCAACCTAACCTCCAATAACTCATTGGCGTCCAAAGATGAGCCTTTGCAATTATTCGTACAACATTATCTTCTGGATGATACTCCACCTTCTGGCGATCGCTCTAACTGTTTTGAATTTATATATTCTCGGACGCCAGCACACAGCTACCTGTCTAGTGCTGTTGACGCCATAGGAATCGCAAGCTTGGCAAACCTACACCACGCACCGCACCTTAGACAAGCAGCACATGATAAATATGCGTTCGTGCTCCGTGAGATCAGATTGGCACTTGCGAAATCTGATTACATATCGTTGGACCAAGTACTGGTCACCGTGATGCTTTTAAATCTATTCGAAGTCAGCATATATGCCATAACGGTTCAGACGTCTACTAACTACAGCCAGACAGTGACATGTGAAAATGCAAGCCTGAGCTCTTGGAACCAGCATCTCGGAGGCGCACTGGCTATAATACAGCTCCGGAAACCTAATCAGCTACAAGATTCGATTATGCGGAATATTTTCCTACATCTACGCAGAGAAATCGTTAGTCCCTCCTTCCCAAGAGTGGGTAGTCTCTATTCTAACTTTCGTGCAGATTAGCAGCTGTCTCCAACAGAAGGCATCCATACCAAGTACAATGGCCAGGTGGATGGCTGAATTTCGAAGATTTGAGACCGTATATGAAAGGCCATCTGGGGAATTGGCTGATATTATCACCCGAATCTGCACCATCGTCTCTTCTGTTGAAAAGCATATTTGCGATACAGAAGCATGCGTGGAGTATATTCCGGACATTCTATCTATTGATGAAGCTTTAACGTCATGGTCTGCAAAGTATACGAATGGGTGGACGTCTCCAGAAGGATCAAGAGATGCCAGGCAGGCTCATACTGAACAGCACAGCCTCTATCATAGCATCTCGCTTACCAACGACTGCAATCTATGCTGCTGTGCTCGCATTATCCTCCACGAAACACTCGTTCGCATCGTATCACAGCACCGCGAATCTAGCACAGGTGGGCCGCCCAGTCTTCCATCGTCGCTATCTTACAATCATCTCCTCACTGCTTCCTATGCTGCCACTAGAAGTAGCATCAGCAGTATCTGTTATAGTGTTCTGATGATCCGAGCACTATTCAGAAATGGGCAAATTGGAAGAGACACGGTAAAGGCTGGTTGTGGTGTAGCCCTGATATGGCCACTTTTCCTCGCCGGGACCATTGGTGTTACCACAGCGAGCGAGCGAGAATGGATAGCTCTACAGCTGAGGGAGATCGCAGAGACTTGCGGGATTCAAAGGGCACAAGTCGCAGCTTCATATGTATGCCGCAGCAATCGGTTATAGGTTATACGATTGGCGTAAAAGCTTCCAATGCAACGTCCGCGACATTTAAAACCCTTCGCTGCCACCGCCATGACTTCTTATGACTACTGTGTGGTTGGCTCTGTATGTACCAGCGTTAAGGTGAGGTGGGATGGAATCCGTGCAGCATTGGGGAGAAGTGCACCTGGCCGACGAGGTGTTGCCTGTAGTTTGCGATATGCTCAAATGATATACTTCGTGGTTAGGACTGCACGGCCAACCTCAGGTAATGCAATATGCAGACAGGAAGTTGTACCAGTTCCTCGCGCTATTCCACACCACATCACATATAATCATGGCTCTTGAGATGAATTTTCCGCTTGGTGGCACCAGACTTTCCGATACTACAGCAACAGCCACATGTTACTGTAGCTCTTTCTCCATCGCGTTCACTACATAAAGTATCTGGCTAATGTCGTTTCGGTTGCCTACTACTAATGTAGAGGGTCTAGTAGATATATTTATCTGTAACCATGCCGACTATTACAAGATCAATACATTAATGTTTGTAACTGTCAATGTGCTAGTGTCGGTAATACTGCGCGTGATACCGCTAAAGCTGGACTGTAGCAAGGACTTAATTCATCTAGAATCTAGCGATTAAAATGATTCTATTTAAGCCTATCTTGACCGCTATTTCGGACCTCTTTGTTCCGACTTTGTGTCCTAGAGCGAGGTGCAGGGGCTGTTGGCCCTGCCAGATCTGTATGGGTGGTGAAGCTCTGGCAAGGATTACTGGACACTCCAGCTTGACAGTAACTAACTATATTATTGCCGATAGCGGTATAAAATACTAAGAGACAAGAAAAGCTGACAGTCTACTCGCAAAATAAGACAAATGCCAACAGCAATACTATAAGTAGCTACTTCTGCTCTGTATGCGGCTCTCTAATATATTGTATTAGCAGGGGCTCTTTACAGCAAAGTGTTATGCAATTAAAATAGTGTATAATCTTAGTCTGCTGCATCATGACGTTAAAGCTATTATTCAAAGTCTATGTGAAGGACGTGGACTGTTAGCACAACGTGGAAGGAGCCGAGAAGCATCGAGAGCAGCCCTAAGGAGGATCTACTTGACAAAAGCATAAAAGATGTGGTCCATCTGGTTCATAAACGCGCTCCAATAACTACAGCGATTTTATGGGTGGTACGGGAAGCGATATTATAACTATATTCTATATGTGTTCGTGATACAATTGTATCTGTGCCTTGACAGCCCACCCACACCGTCCTCTTGTGATCCCAGACCTCGCAACAGGGACTATTGTACTATTTGGAATCATATTTGCTTGTGCCACTGTGCGAAGATTTCTCGATGGCGGCGAATAAATTATAACTTAGTTTCCTCAGTCTGCAACCAGTGCTTTCCAATCGACACAGCTCAAACCAAAGTGGTGTGATTAAGTGAAGGAACATGTCGTGGTTCAGCTCAAAACGTTCTTTTCAGCCTCTGCATACATCGCGATTTAATGGAAGTACATGTCCGAAAGTGTCCAACAACTCGGCAGACATAGAGACAATAGACATATGCAAAATCCATGTTCGCCTATATCCTTAGTACGAGAAGGTTTCTCCTACAATTTTCTCGCTCAATGTCCACAACTTCTCCGCATTGGAAGAATTAGAGGCATATTCCAGTACCTCGTGCGGTTTACAATCATCCAAGAATGACCCTGAATATTCTGGAAGAAATGTGGTAAGCAGTTGAGTTATCAAATAGGCGGCTAAGCTCTTACCATCAAGGGCCGGATCCAAGGCAGCAGCAAGTGTAGTCGCGCAACCCTCCTCGACGGTTTTCTCCTTCGGCATTTGTATTTTCTTGCTTTCGAACATAGGTCCCACAATAGGCCAAGCAGCTGGGTCTACCCCGGCGGTCAGACCAGTTGCTTGAATAACTCCAGGATGCAAGGAATAGCTCTTTATGCCCTTCTTCGCAAGTTTCTTTGCCAATGCAACAGAGAACAAGATATTCGCCGTCTTAGACTGCCCGTACGCCTCCCAAGCATTGTAGGCTGTGCCGTTGGAAAAACTGTAATCCTCGAAACGAATCGGACTGAATTGATACATGGCACTCGAGACATTGATAATCCGGGCACCGCTGCCAGAAGCTTCGAGTGCCGGAAGGAGGAGGTTGGTTAGCAGAAAATGGCCAATATGGTTTGTACCGAAATGGCTCTCCACGTTTTCGGGCGTCAGAGAAAATTTGGCACCCATAATCCCCGCGTTATTAATGAGAACATCGATTTTTGAAGTGGTTGACTTTATCTCTGCTGCTGCTGCTCGCACTGATGAGAGAGATGAAAGGTCGACTTCGACGAACCGCACAGTGGTCTTCGCGCTAGTTTCCTGGATTTGGCTCATAATGGGAGAGACTTTGTCTAAGGAGCGCCCAAGGAGAATAATCTCGGCTGGCTTCCCAGAGGCCAGGTATAGGGCTGTGTGCCCTCCAAGCCCGCCATGGCTGGCGCCAGTGATCACGACTATGTTCTTGTCAGTCGATTTAAATTCCACTCCAGCCGCAGGCAAAATTCATGGCCATCACGGGGGGTTTAGGCATACAAGTCTTCCCAGCGACGCGATCAGCGAAGGCAGCGACCACTTCAGGGCCCGTCGTTGACGAATTGAACATAGTCATTTTCAAGACTGATAACAGCAGTGCAAAATGTCGTATCCAGTTGGGGATTGCACACAGACTCTGGTTGTAAGATTCTTAGTGCAGTGTAGGCCAATGAACGAAAAAACACTCATTTCCATCTGAACGATAGAGGTATTTATATATACGCCTTTCACCTTTGCCATCATGAGAAGGGCACATTTCATGATCGGATATGGAGTAACTAATCAACCCAACACACATTTGTAATAAGGGACTAAAATCCATCCACCAGATTTCAAAGTTTATTCAGGATAGGCCTTATTAGCTCAAACCCCACAGCTGATGGGCGTTTTATTAGCTTATACAGTTGAGACCCACTCCCCAGTCACCCAGCAGATCTGCGAAATATGACCCAATGCCCACTTTCCGGAGCTACGATGATTCCCATGGCCAAAAAAGCACTGCAGGACAACGCCTCATGCATAATACATAAGTCATCATCAAGTTATCTCCAGCAAGGTCTGAAAATATTGGGCTCATGAATCTTTATCTTCCCCATCATCTTAAGCTACTTCATTCTACCTAACGAACATGCATTTACCAATATCATCTTATTCTTAATACAATACCCGAGTTCCATGTGAAGAATAGCTATAAAATGGGGACGTGATGTTTTTTTATGCCCTTCGATAAGATGACCTTTGTCGTTGTAAGGATTGTAGAGAGAGTACTAGCAACCCTTTTCAACCTTCTACTCTTCATGGTGCCTCCAAGGCACTTTACATTGACTCTACTTGCTAGGTCGTATGTTGGTCGATTGGGCAGGGAGATGATACTGCATTGGAAGAGCCAGAAAACAGCAATTTGTATAAGTAGATGTCCTTATATTAATGTATATGCACGATACCAAGGTCTGGGGAGTACATTGCCATAGTGCCTATCGTCGGAGCGTACAGTAAGCCTCGTTAGCAAAATACTCTCAAGAAATATGCTTGGGCCTACACTCGACATGTGTGAAAGGGTATGAAGAAATATCTGGTAATTTGAAAGTTAATCTCTTTTATGATGACAAATACTAGCTCCTAACTGTTAATGACAACGTTTGTTCATGATCCTGAGACGTCAGATTATTCACCTAGTACTTTAATCAACGCAAAGTTGACGAAAAACACTTGTTTGATTTTGTATGTAGTCGACCACCACTTTCATCTGCTGTCATCAGTTTTCTATAACTATTTTTCGGCATGTTCAGTAAATAAATATTCCAGTTAAGATAGTACTGAACTCCCCTGATGTCTATTCTATGCAATTCAATTAAGCAACTCTGATAGGACCATTTATATCGGTCAGATTCAATTACAGGATGTGCAAACATTTGGTTTTCAATTTAATGGACACGTCCAAAAAGAATGGATATGTACTCAATAATAATCGTGAAACCACGGATGAGATGACAACTGGGATTTACAAAACACTATGGTTGATGATTTGACAAATCTGATTTGATCCCACCGGCATATCCCACCACCGTACCGATCCTTTTCCGGTATTCCCACCAGCCATGTCTCCCTCATGGAGACTGTTTTAAGTTACAAGGGACCACTATAATAACTTTTCCTTTAATTATACGGGCTGGAAGCCAGTGGGAACTGAGAGTTCCGGGAACCCGGATGTCATTGTCACCGCTCCGTCTAGTCGTCCAGTATCTTCTTCATTATCGAACGTACTAGGTAGCTTTCTAACGAGAATACCGAACATAAATAAAGTAATCAAAACGCAGGGGAAGCGTGGTTAATATATCGTACACAAACCACCTGTGAGGCAGTGTCGTCACAGTCGTTCCATTCTAGATATATATATAGTGATGACTGAGTAATATACTCTGGTAGTGTGGTTAATTCCACACTATAGGTGTACTACATAGCGTGGAAGTTTTTTGTAGCTACAACTGATAGCCATCTCTGTCTGAAGAGCTGCCATACCGCCGTTCTGCACAAAAACTAGAAGCTTGGAAGTGGGAATTGGTTGGTAAATTGATCTAGCTCTCTAATAGACCTGGCCCTTACCCGCGGGCGACCCTCCGGACCCTCCACCCGACCCGCCCAGCAGGTGGGTAAGCGACCAAGTTGTCGACCCTCAAGAGAGTCACCCGTGGGTGAACCTCAGGGTCCACAAACAAGACAAACAGATAAAAAACGTGACTTGCTCGCGATATGTAGATTTAGAGAGGTTTTCTGTTTATTCGTTTGTAATTTTTAATTTAGCAGTGGATTAAAGATTTAAGAATCTAGAGATGAATTATAAGAAGATTGTATTGTTTGTCGTACGAATAGCTTAACATAGGATATGTAAAATAAAACAGTGTAGTAATTATTGAGATCCAAGTACATAGCCCTCAAGTAGCTTCGAGCGCTTGCGCTTTCTACTAGATATACGCTGCTGTGTGTCAGGTAACGGAGGGTTTGTATCGTTGTCATCGTCCTTATCATGATCCATAGCCCCTCTATCTTCAAGCTCAAGTGTTGTTGTACAAGACCGTAGAAGGGACTGTATTTTAGAGGGTTGTATTCCCTCCGCCTTATACACTGAATTCTCTGTCTCTTCCGCAGTATCACTGATCGGATCAAACGATTTATCCCGTGATTCATTAGTCTCTGTTATGGCTGCAATATCTTGGTGTGAGAGATACCCCCTGTAGCATAAGTCGTTTCTGCTCTTGGAGGTCAAATCTTGTCGTACATATCCATAGCATGACATCCCGGATAGTCTCCGGCTTAAAGACCCCCGTCGATAATGACAGATATCCCGAGCGGAGTTAATGAGACACTCTACTCCTGCTCCAGTTGCTGGGATCGACATAATATCCCGGGCGAGGCTTGTAAGTACAGGAAACTCGTGTTCATGATCTTTCCAAAAGACCCGAGGGGAGCCTCGTACAGTTTCTAAAAGAAAAAGTTAGTGTTATTTAGTAAGAAAGGAAGAGAGGACGTACGACTTTCAAGATATCTCGTAGGCTCGTTCTGCTGCGGAGGTAGTGACGCTTGCAAGTTTCAAATAGTAGATCAGCGTCTGTCATTGTCGTCATTGATAACTTAGCGTTTGATTGTAGTCTTTCTTCCGGATATTTCTCCTTGTACAAAGTAAAGAAAGACTCAAGACTCTCACGATAGATCCTTTTATAGTCTTTTTCTGGATCATCAGACTCTCAGTCCTTAGTTGAGAAGAACTGGAGCGTGTTTGCTGGCGCTAGGATTGTACCAATTGCGTAGAGGTCGCCTTCGATACTATCTTTCATAGCATAGTACTTTGATAGCTTCTCTTGCGCAGGCTTGAGTGAGGAAAGCATCAAGCATCAACTGCTTCCAATGCACCTTCTTTCGTCGGAGTTGACGCATTGAATTTTTCAAGATGTTCGAAGAGCCTGTTGTAGAAACTAAAGACAGCGAATATTTAAGTCCTTAGTCGTACAAACGACATTTGTGTATTTGAGGAAATGCTGAAGGATAAACAGTAGATAATCGATTTCTCGCCACTCCTCGATGTTTAGTGGAAAATGAGGCTGATCGTACTGCGAGCAGAACGTGTCAAAAGTTGCTTAGAGTCTCTTATCAGACATCGGACCATCATCCATCTGTAGGAATTACTACCTAGTCTATAAGCCAGAGGACCTGGTAACGAACGGTCTAGGATACGCTCCATCAGCAGACACAAGGCTGACCCATGACTGTACAGGAATCTCTTGAGCTTCGAAAGCGAACAGATTCGGGGAGAGAGAAAGCCATGGAGAAGTTGCGTAGTCGTCGTCGCACTGGAGATCACGTATTTGAAGATTTTCTAGTGATCGCAACCGACGCTTTTCCTCCGGACGATTAGATACATCACGTTTTACAGGTTGTTGACGATGCCTCTGTCCATAACATCTCAGCATGGAACACATGGATGTGCACCACGCCGCACTTAAGCTTTTTGGGATTACCTGGCTCCATTGCATGCTCCCTCATCAGGTACAACTGCATACTGATGTGATTCTCTGTGAAATTGTCCAAGATTGTGAAATAGGCTCAACGTATGGTGGCGGTCCTAGTAGCCATCATCATTCTTAAATATAGTCCTTGTAGGGAAAGATTATTAGAGGAGCTGCGAAAGCATGTACTGAGGCAGAACCTACTCCGTACATTCGAAGCCTTGAGGCCAGTTTCAATCACAGCAAAACGGCTCCGAAATGTGGCTGGGCTAGACCCCTCTCTAGGCGATTTCTTCGCATATTAAATTTGCTCGAAACGCAAGACTCTGTTATGAATACGAGGGTATACCACAATTTTTCGGGATAGGTCGTATTCGCGGGGTCATCCCATAACTATCCCGCATAACGTTATCCTCCAACCTTAACCGGAAGCATAACGATGCTCATTCCATCAATTGTCCACAATATAAATGCACACATTCGCCATCTTCTATGATTTTAACTACAGACTAGAGAACAAGAAATCATTACCCAGGTATCTAGAAAACCATCATGTCTTCCGAATTCGCCAGCAACGGCCTTTATTGGCAAACACAGGCACCCCTGCAAAAGGGAAATCCTACCATTCTTTTCATCCATGCTTCGTGGATGTCCTTGACCATGTGGGAAGAGACTGTCCAGCTTCTCGCACCACAGCTGCCAAACGTCAACCTCCTCCGCATCGACTTGAACGGCCACGGAAAGACCACCGCCGCCCGCAAGGAATATACTCTCTGGAATCAAGCCGAGGATGTCCTCGCTCTCTTGGTAAGATTAATCCAATACAGCCATGGGCAAAGCTAATACTCCACAGAAAGAGCTTGAACTCTCTAACGTCATGATCGCCGCCATCTCCATGGGCTCGATGATCGCCCTCCGCCTGGCTCTGCTCGATCAGGCCAGATTTTCGGGTCTTGTTCTCCTCGCCTCTAATGCATCAGCCGTGACAGACGCTCAGCGTAGCGCATTCTACCAGCTTAGCGATATCTGGGTTGCGACACCTGCTCCCAGCGAACAGATCATGAACGCCGCTATC